AAGTTAATACAGAGAAACAATAATCAAGAACAAGAACAGAAAACACATAGAAAAAATGGCTGCTTTATCTGATAAACTAGCTGATGCTTACCAAAACGCAAGACCGAGATATCCGATCGATTGGTTCACTAAGCTTGCGGCTCGAACCGGTCAGCATAAATTGGCTTGGGATGTTGGTACTGGCAATGGTCAAGCTGCCATTGGTGTATGTTTTCTTCATCTTCTTCCCAAAAGTTTACATTGCATTTTTTTTCTTTTTTTTTCTGATCACTAGATCCCCAAGACGACGTCGTTTATAGTGTAGAATAATTAAATAGTGATATATAACATCTTAGCTTTAGTGTAAATAAGAAGATGAATTCTTTCTTCCTTATGATTATTATCCAATCATAGCAAAATTTGATCTTAATCTATGAAACTACTAGTATATAATGTTGTTGGTGATAATTATTTACGATTTCACACTTTGCAAACGTGATTTAGTCAACTTTGACCATTCATTAGCAATTTTCACGGTTTTGAAAATTGATTATGTTCTATATGATTTTTTTGTCGCATGTTACATCATTTGAAGATATTATTATTCAACTTATTACAACGATGATCAATTAATTGATACTACCTTTTTGTGGGAATATACCAAATGGTGCCACAAATGACTCATGTATATGAATAAATTGTTAAATATATAACAAAAAATGAAAATGATTATTCTATAAAAAATAGTTTTTTAGCATTTACAGATTTCTAAGCATAAATTTTGTTAATTCAAGTATTTCCTTTATTTTATTATAACGTTGCTTAATCACACAGCTTGCGGAGTATTTTGAGAAAGTTGTAGCCACAGACATAAACGAAGCACAACTAAAACGAGCCGTAAAACACGAGAGAATTAGTTACCATCACACTCCAACAACAATGTCAGAAGATCAAATGGTTGCTCTAATCGGTGGAGACAGCTCCGTTGATCTCATAGTAGCTGCACAAGCAGTTCACTACTTCGAACTCGCAACATTCTACAACATAGCAAAACGTGTTCTTCGCAAAGACGGCGGATTAATCGCGGTTTGGGTTTACAACGATCTAGTAATCTCCCCTGAAGTTGATACCATCATGAAACGTCTTGTGGATTCTACGTTTCCTTTTAGAACTCCGGTAATGAATCTTGCTTTCGACGGTTACAAAACGTTGCCGTTTCCTTTTGAAAGTATAGGGATGGGATCAGAAGGGAAACCTATAATGCTTGATATTCCTCATAAGCTTTCGCTTAAAGGTTTTATCGGTTTCTTGAAATCTTGGCAACCTGCGATGAAAGCTAAAGAACGAGGAGTTGAGCTTGTAACCGAAGATTTGATTAGTAAATTTGAAGAAGCTTGGGG